GTCGGGATCTAAGAGCAGTAGCTATGCTTTGTACTAACACCTTCCTTTCGTTCATATCCATGTTCCTGAATTTAGCAGCCTTAAAATCTTCAGCAACCTGAAGATCAGCAATGGACTTCTTGGACATTTCCTCATTGAGACTAGGCAATCTGCTCGGATTTCTGACGTACGAAATAGAGAGTTTCGCTAAATTGTCAACTCTGTATCAATGTCGAGAACATTTTTGTCGGCGTAAGATTCTCCTTCTGCCTCGCTGTTGAACTGGAACACATGCGAGTCATCTGCGATTTCGTAAAGTATTCTGCCTGCCGTTTCTTCTTCAAACTGCCAACCTTTCCAAAACATTGAAGGATATTTTAATAACTTGTTGTTCTTCTGAATGCCTCAAAGTTTTTGATTTATTGAAACTAACCATTCTCTACAATTAGGTGAGTCTAGAGCGTTTTCACGAAAGTGACCTTCTTCAGCACTAGGTTTACAGAGTATAGATTTCAGAAATGGGCGGGCTTTCTTGTGAAGGTGTGGAAATTTACCAATCTCCCATAATTTTTTGAGTATGTGCTGATAATGATGGCACAACTGTCAATCAGAAGCGCATTTTTTACTAAAAAACATAAACATATAACAACGATAAGCACACTTAAATAAACGCGTTCGCTCGCGTTCCCGTTGGTACTGATAACGATGTCAATCACAGCACATTTTTTACTATTAGCTTGCTCCACCCAGCTTCACCAATGTATTGGCTTTTATCGGTCACCGGAGCAAGTGCTTTTTAAAGACGGGAAGCAAAGAAGCCCCAACATGCTGTATACCATTCGAAAGCTGAGATCATGGAGAACCGAGTTAGACCGTCGCCTTTTTTCTAGGTCTTTTGTATCGCGAGATATGAGGGATTTTATAAACTTCAAAAATCAACTGATTGTGTCCTCACTTACCGTCGCAATATACCCAAAAGAGTTGTAGCTTTAAACAAAGAAGTGTTGATTATATTACTAAAATAAGATTGATTAATTTTCATGGAACTGTAACGCTCAGGGACGTATTTATGAATGCTCGGAAAGAGTTTGTGCTTCTGTAGATGCTTGTTTTATAAGTAAATAATAAGAATAAACATAAATACCGTTTCTTAAAATTTATGAGTGTACTTGTTGTTTGAGGTACTTAATCTGAACCTTTTAATAACGATTTTTATTTTATATTCTCAGAGTACAATACCAATCTCAGCCCAGGTGAAGGGGGTCATCCGGAGTTTGGCCTCAAAGTGAAGGGGTAAGATCTATCACTCCCCTATCGCAACTATGTCCCCTAGCCCACTTTAATGTATTGGAGGGGGGAGACTTTGTGATGAAAAGGTTCCCCCAGGCATAATAGGACGCCCTAAACCCTTACATATTATATATCCTCTGAAAGCTCTTGATGAGTAGAATCTAACGTATGAAGTCGCAATATGATTAATGCAGTTCTGAAGAAGTTATGAGCTGTTGGATTTCAAAAAGCGCTTTTTACCTGCTTTTCAAGACTCTGGATCTCGGAGGTGTTTCAATGGATCGGAACGGCTAAGATAAATCCTGATAAGGCAAACCTTACCCTATAAAACCTACGAAGTCGCAACATCACACACTTTCACATTCAAGATTTATATGAGTTTAACTGTCAACTGTCAAAAAATACCCAAAAATGGCGTGAATTTTTAGAATTCTGGTTTTCAACGACTATCTCTCAAATCCACTCGATTTTTTCACTAGCTGAAATAGCACCATTTACTCTTTTTAATTCTTGAAGTCGCAACTGTCGACATCTTCAAACAACAGATTTATAACAGTGGAAATTCTGCATGATTTTTCACTATTCAATTATTCAAAATTCTGGTTCTCGGCCGTTACTGCCTGGATCGATCTACTTTCTTCGCTGTACGTTATAACAAAATTTGCTCAATAAAATCCGTACACTTTCTCTAATTTTTACTTTTAAATACACCATTTACTGAACACTTTTATTTCAAATATATATGCCGCCGTATATATAAAAATTTGCTTTCAATAATCTTTTTTTGCGTTTGTTTTGCTTATTTTCCTTCTTTATCGTCCAGTGAAAAAATTTTTATTCTAAAAGTGAAGGTGGTCACCCCGTACCAGCTCAAAAGTGAAGGTAGGGGGCGAATCTCCCACTATCGCACCTCTGGTATGATGGTCGATTTTACGAGATTAGTAACTCTTGAGTAGTCTTGAAACCTTTATAATGTTTTCAAGTACAAGTCATAAATTTAGTTTTGGTTGATGATTTGTTGAGTTAGCAAACTTTATTTGATTTACATAGGAATTCATCGACATATTTGGAAGCATTTTAGTTGTTAGTGAATATCTTGTTGAATACAATCTTCTTCCATGATTTCCATGGCGTTTATATGTGTATAGAAGGAAAGACTCATTTTAAATTCCTTAAAAGACGTAAAACTTTTTCTTCTCATTTGTGATCTTAAAATAGGCTAAGGGACACATTCTCAAAAAATCGCAATCAAACTGTGCGAAAAGATCAAAAATGGGCTTAGTCCCAGCTCACCTTGCTGCTGGGAGTAAAACGGGCCTTCAGGTCCATTTAAAAAGGAGGTAAATATCATTTTGCCCCATTTGAAACAGACTTTTTGCATGATTCTTTTGCAAACGAGAGCTCAGGTAGGGTTGAATAATTTCCATTATGCCGCTTTGCCTCGTAGTTGCGATGGGATAAAAATTTTGGATTACGCGAGCGAATGTAGATTCCGATCATTCTTTATCGCGAACGAATAAAATGGGGTATGAAAGTCCATTTTCCTCCATTATGGACTTTCGTGGATATCATTCCAGGATGGGTTGGTAGAATATCTGGCTAACATCAACTGGTATGGCTCGTTCAATACTGTCAATAACATCAATGACATGTACGAATTATTCTTGCATATTCTTTATCATGCCATCGACCTTTTCATCCCTATGGTCAAGGTCCCGCTGTCCAAGGTGCATCTTCCTACCTTCGTATCTTACACGATCGAAGGGAGCAAGCTTGGACCAAAGCGACTAATTATGAGAGTGTGAGCAATTGGGAAAAGTTTAATAGGGTGAATGCTATCTTCAACAAAAGAGAAAATAAATACCGCCATTAAACGAGGAATCATTGAATCCGGAAAAAAAACCTCTTTTTTCAAACTTATCAAATCTAGACTCAAGGATAAAAATGAGATAGGAAACCTTTTCACAGATAATGGTTCCGCGATAACAGATGATTTCCAAATTGCAGAGCGGTCTGCTAATGTTTTTGAAAGTACTTTTCAAAAGCATTGTAAGGCCGATGGTGTGCTGCATAACACCCCACGCTACGCTATGGAGGATACACCTTGGTTCTGCAGTGATGATATCTATAAGCTGCTGATCACTTGGCCCAAGTCAACATCTCTGATACCAGACTTGCTTCCGTTGGGATTCATTATGTTCGTAGCACACATAATTGCTGGACCTCCCCCCCCCCCCTCCCAGTTTATTTTCATTCTTAATGTTAGTATGATGAAGAGTGAGGTGCCGGACAGGTGGCGTGTATCTTATGTGGCTCCACTCCCAAAAAAAAGCTTATACAGACGAATCATTTCATATAATTCGTCTGTATAAGGTTCAAGTGTGTTATTTCATTTCATGTGTGTTATTGCACACACATACCACCTTTGGCGTCCCCATTCTCGATTGCACACACAGTCCACCTTTGGCGTCCTCATCCTCGATTTGCAATCGCAAAAACGCAAAAGACTTACCGATTCTTATCGATTACACCAATCTGAGGGATTAGTAACTAAAAAGGAAAGAAAATGCTAAGATCACCTTGAAAACACCTGAAGGATTGTTTCTCCCATGAATCCAGGATGGGAACGCCAAAGTTGGCTTGTGTGTGCAATGACACACATGATCATATAAAATGATTCGACTGTACCTCCCCAAACAATTTCCGTCCTGTGAGTATAACTCTCTATTTGCTAGACTGTTTGAAAAGTTACTGAAGAAGGCTATCGTCAAGCACTTAGATAGTAACAAGATCATTGATTTCCTGCAACACGGAACGCCCATAATCGGCCGCGGAACTGGTGGGGAAACTGAGCCGCGCCCTAGTGCCAATCGATTGGAGCACGTTATCCTTCGCGCATTTGGAGTATCTGGACACATAGCAGTTCTTCATAGTAACTATGCTCACTGTCTGTATTGTTTTGCGGCAACGATACAGCACAATGAAGTTGATGACTAACTAATCACTTCGAAATGTGCTGTAGTGCGACTTTAGCTTGTTCTGATCATTTTGTATAGTGAAAAGCGTCAACTGTACTGATGAATGTTATGCCCTTCAATAGTCTTGTTCACTCTACAGAGATCATAGAAGCATAATTGCTGCGTTCGTCGCAGCCTCGTATGGCATCCCTTTACGTCGCCTCCTCAGAAGGGACAGTTGTACTGTAGCGTTGTAGAATCGTCGCTGTTGCGAGGCTTACATCATGTTTTCAGATAGTTTTTTTACCATGCTTCTGACCCGTCGTTTTTGAGTTTTGAATGCTTATTTTTCTAGCTGTCAGTGCATTCACGACTAATTTAGAAATGAGAACGAAAGCGCCTTGCCATATCTGCAAGAAAGGACCAGTGGTTTTGAATGATCTATATAAACATCTTCGTCATGTACACAGCTCCAATGAAGAGGAAATAGAACAAATAAAACTTGCTGTCAAGCGAGCCGTTTATGGAGACAAAATACTCTGCGACATATGTGAAAAGCCATATTTTTCCAGTAGAGGTCTAAGGATGCTTAAAAAGGTAAGATAAAGTTTTGCGTTATCATAACTTGCGTGGCTGTTGGAATTCGTATGCTTGTATGCGTCCCTGGTGCCTAGCTAAGAGCATGAGCTTTACATACCGAGTATGTCTCCGAATTATTCACGACCGTTTCAGTCCGTGCACGAAAACACCGCGGAGATGACTCATGAAAGAACTATGATCAACTGCCCAGGATGTGCCGCAAAGTTTCAGTCAAATTTGGATTATGCCCGGCATTGTGAAGCACATCATAAAAGTGAAGATCCCCTCGTTGTGGTGTCAAACACTTTCGAATCGTTTGGTTTATTTGAGGTGAGCAATATATAGTCATTCGTAAAGTGAGGTTGCAAGTATGCCAGTTTTCTAGGAATAGCTAAAGAAGAAAGGGAACGAAACATGTTCCAAAGTTGTCAGATGCTACATACGAAAGAGCAGTTTCGGAAATACATATGTTTACCTCTGTCATCATACACGAGGGAAGGGCGAGGATATCGACCCTGAGGAATTCAAGCAGAGGTACAGGCAACACAAAAGAATCAGGAAGCACTGCCCCTGCTTCGTCAAGGTCGTAAACTCTGTGCCCCAGGCTGTTTAGAAAAGATCTCTTTTAGGCTCATTTGAACGGGCTTGGCACGGTGCATGTCACTGCGTGCTTTGGACACTATGGCCATGCAATAAGCATGGCAGCTCTGCCCTTATTTAATGAGGATGAAGATGTGGTCAAAAATCTGATCGAGGCAGGAGTGCCGGCGCGAACAGTAGGAAAATCTGGGCTTTGAATTGGCCTTACATGTTACTTATTTGTTTAGATAGTGTCGAAATTGCGTAGAGAGAACTGGAATCCACGGCAGGACCCCGAAAGGCAAATGCGATTGTGTTATTTGACAACTACAAATATTAGGTCAGTTTATATAAATGTATCGCCGTTAGTTTTCTAGCTGTTTCATTGTTTTTGGTAACATTGCCGAACGCCACCATTTAATAAAAGGAAAATACACCTGCGACGACAGAACTTCGGTCAAAACCCTTGTGGAAAACAGTGATGATATTGCAGCTTCGAAACTAATTGAAACAAACAACCTGGGACGGATTTCTCCTAGGTGAGTAGTAAACAAGTCAGGACCTTAGCGTGACTTTGAATACCTCTGTTTTGCAGCATTTGTCACTAAAAAAGGCAAAGCATATTTGGAAAAATACGGCAAAAATGGCCTAGTGATTGACGACACATATAACATCACCAAATACTCTTTTCGTATGGCTACAGTCTTAGTGTATGGCAATGCCGGGAATGGTTGATGGCAAGGTATAGGATCCCACTACAAATGTTCAGACTTGCATCCTACACTCTGACAGCGATTTTTTGATGACCGATGATACACTCACGTTTTACAACGCCTTCAAGTCAGTGTTTCCCGAGAGCCGAGCACAGAAAGTCCCATGTGCATTTCACGTTAGTCAAGCATTTCTACGAAAACATAAAGAATTGCTATCAGTAAGTCCTCTAGTGCTTGTAAGAATTCTTCCATTCTACTTAACAGCTTTTCCTCATAGTCTCCTGATGTTTCCATCGCGCAACATATGTTCAATGCACTTCTCGGGGAGGTAAATCCTCGAAAATTTGAGGAAAACTTCAATGCTTATATCTCATGGCTTACGTCCGTAGAGGCTGTAGAAATGGCTACCGTAAGTTTCTTCAGCGATAGTATCTATACCTTCAACAGACTTCTTTTAGTATATCGAAAGAAATTACTCTCAAAGGCGACACGAATGGGCGGTGTGTTGTCGTCCTAATGCACCGTTTAAGACTACTAACCATGCCGAATCCTGGCATAATAAACTGAAACATATCTTGCTCCGAAGCAAGCAAAACAATAGGCTGGACGTCTTCGTGTATACCCTTATCGAATATTCTCAAGATCACAATCTTCAGCTAATATCTGCCGTGAGTTCCACTGAGTTTTGGCGCATTTTATTGGCGTGATTGACTCTACGGATTTTTTAGGGCGTCAGGGGCTCTGATCTCTCAGGAAGACGGAAAAGAAATACACGTCGACACAAGGACGCACTAAGCTATTACACACACGCAACGGTAAGACGCGCCACTTGTTGTAGTCGTGGAACTACTGGTTTAGGATACCATTGAGCAAATAATGAATACTGCTGGATTGTACGCGGACCTCGAAGAGGAAGCATATTTCAAGTAACCATAGATGATTTTGATTGGAGCTGCGACGATGGCGTAAGTCAACTTTATGTTGTAACTTTCCTTATACAAAAAAAGACCGCTTCAGATGAATTCGCATTGTGAGCGATGCGGCGTCTGTTCTTACACGGTCCACTGCAACTGTTACGAGTCGCAAGAAGGGGTGACCTGCGTTCATGCCCATGCTGTGTAAACCTTTGGAGGTGGGTCTTCATACCGGAGCGCAATGTATCAGAACGAATTTGGTTTCAGCTCGCTCACAGCGTCTAAGACTGCACTTATCCGCCTTACCAGCTGTGAGAGAAACGCTGAGAGAGATTAACAACAACATTGAGAACAACAATGCTGTGGCGACCGAAATTCATTCAAACGTCTTCTACTCAGACAATCGCTGGGGGCCGGGCACCGGAAAAATAGATTGCTGATTTCTCGCACCCCGCTCGCGGATTTTTTGCAAAGCAATCAGGACTTTTTGGAAGACCGCTTGCTGAGTCAGCGGATATTTGAGAGACCGCCTGTTGAATTTTTTTTCGCTCTTGTCTTTTGCAGATATTTTGCTGAATCTCTGAGGAATCGAGAATTCAGCAAGCGGTCTTCCGAAAAGTCCTGATTGCTTTTCAAAAAATCCGCGAGCGGGGTGCGAGAGATCAGCAATCTATTTTTCCGGTGCCCGCCTGCCCCCGGCGATTGTCTGAGTATCCGGCACCGGCTCAGATAATCGCCGGGGGCAAGCGGCGATGCGATTCATGGGCAGGCGGGCACCGGAAAAATAGTTCGTTGATTTTTTGCGGCCCGCTTGCAGAAATTTGGAAGAAAGTTGGCGAAATTAAGGACGAACGCTTGAAGAACAGTCGCGTTTTCTTCATGGATTAGCTGCGGCGCAGTGGCCGCATTCTCGCGGACTTTCCGCGAGAATTTGCAAAAATTTCGGGGGCCGCACGGTCCTTTGTGGAGGACCGCGCAACCCCCAGGTACTTTCCGCTGAAAGAAAGTACCCCAAACTTGGGTAATAAAACCATCGATGGCACCTATGCCACATAGAGTCTCGTCTTTTCTCGGCGTACGCCCGAAACCGCGTAAAAAGAGTCCGAGCGCCTGCTGAAAGTGTGGCCAGCGCTCGCTGAAAGAGATTGTTTGACGAGCGCTTGCAGAAAATTTTGTATTAATGCCCGCTTGCAGAAAACGGAAATACCGCCCGCTGAAGATTTGGCCACGCCCCGAAATCCTGCTGACCGCCTGCAGAAAAGCGCGAGTTTGCGGACCGCCTGCCCCCGGCGATTATCTGAGGGCAGTAGAGCAACTCAGATAATCGCCGGGGGCAGGCGGCCATGCGATTTATGGGCGTGCGGGCACCGGAAAAATAGTTCGCTGATTTCTTGCGGTTCGCTTGCAGATATTTGGAAGTATTTAAGCGAAATATTAGACGAATGCTTGGAGAACAATCGCGGTTTCCTTATAGATTAGCTGCGGCGCAGTGGCCGCATTCTCGCGGACTTTCCGCGAGAATATGCAAAATTTTCGGGGGCCGCGCGGTCCTTTGTGAAGGACCGCGCAGTCCCCAGGTACTTTCCGCTGAGAAAAAGTACCTCAAACTTAAGTAATTAAACCAACGGTGACACCTCTGCCACACAGAGTCTTACCTGTGCTCGACGTACGCCCGATAATGCGTAAAAACCGTCCGAGCGCCAGCTGAAAATTTGACCAGCGCTCGCTGAAAGAGATTACCTGACGAGCGCCTGCAGAAAATTGTGTGTTGCTGCCCGCTGGCAGAACATTAGACAGTAAAGGAAGTACCGCTCGCTGAAAGTTTGGCCACGCCCCAAAATTCTGCTGACCGCTTGCAGAAAAGCGCGAGTTTGCGGACCGCCTGCCCCCGACGATTATCTGAGAATGCGATAAAATTAAAGAAGCGCTGCAAGAAGCCGAAGGGGTAAGGAACAGTTAAAATTTGTCAGTTGAAGCTTTCTTCTGCTCTCTTTTATATAAATAGTGCTTTACAGCTAAAAAATCAATTTGGAGAGTTGGCAAAGGCGTACGCAAAATCAAATCGTCTTGATCTGATAAATCAGATGAACGAATTCATGAAGAACGGGCTGGGAGAAATGCCCCAAGAAGCGCTTGAAAACCGTTTCGTGAGGAAGGCAGTGATGCAGACCACCGGGGCTGGTCTCGCGCCGTCTCGTATACAACCGCAGTATAAAAGTGTAAGTTTTGAAACAGATGACCATTTATAGCCACATTGTCTTTTTTAGAGGACGCAATTAAGACTGGAGAAGAAAGAGAAACATCATCCTTACAACTACATAGACGAAGATTTTGAATGAACCTTATTTTTTTGCACGTACTCACATTCTAGGATATTCATGAATTTGTTGATTTGTTCAGTATCTGATCAAAGGACTTCATTTCTTTCATTTAATATAAGGTCGGGTCTCTAGATTTTTGATAGCTGTGTTCGATTCATACCCGGTGCGCAGTAAACATGAAGATCTCATTCTGTAGTCATTAAACTTTTCCATTATTAACACGCGTTGATCTACATATTCACATGTGCGTCGACGTAGTGAGCACATCCTCATTATCACATTCTGCCAAAGTGCCGTAAAGCGTACCATAAGCTTCACTGCTGTGATATGAGTACCGTCACAGACCGAAATTGTGTTAAATTCATGTGCCACGCCTGTCACCTCAGCGTTCTACTGCTTATTTTCAGATTCGGTGTGGCGAATAGGCCCAGGTGAGCACAAAAGCTCGGACATTGCTTTTAAGAAGCAGTGATAAGAGGTGGGAGAAAGGACAGATACATGACTCTATGTCACAAGTCACAGTGTGTTAGGAATGCTGACGGGACAGCCTCTTGAACTAGTGAATGTGCTGAAGCTTTGCATAAAGTGCGCAGACTGGGGGTCATAACTCGTTCTCAGTGTAAGTTGAAGTCGCACTACAATGTGCACATTCCCAGATTACTTAGTCATCAACTTCATTGTGCTGTATCGTTGCCGCAAAACAATACAGACAAAGAGGAGAGTTACTATGAAGAACTGCTAAAGGCTGCCGCATGACGAAGGCGCAATGGCGATATTAGTTGAGCGGGAGCGAACGCGACGCGCGGGTATTTTCACCGTTGTAGATCCCGCACCTCATGCGCTCTGCGGCTAATAAAGCCGCGTTCGCGCCCGAAGATATTGCGCCTTCGCCATGCAGCAGCCTATATGTGTCCAGATACTCTAAGTGCGCGAAGAATAACGTGCTCCAATCGATTGGCACTGGGGCGCGGCTCAGTTTCTCCACCACTTCCGCGGCCGATTATGGGCGTTCCGCAACACGGGTTCCAGAGTGGTAAATCCACCACAACGACCATGTTGTAGTGTCCCAATCGCTGGATACAGAGTTTTGACAAAGGACTTAATACTGATATTATCTATTCAGACTTCACCGAAGCCTTCGCACCCTAAACTGTTGGAAAAACTAAGGATGGTAGGCATTCATCCACGCATTCTTGCATGGATCAAAGCTTTCCTTAAGGATAGGTCCTTTGTTGTTCGGATTCCACTTTTTCTAGGCCGAGGAATATGTATAGCGGTGTACCACAGGGCGGAGTATTGCCTCCAGTGTTGTTCAATATTCACACTCATGAGCTTCATAGTATTCCCTGCATTGCTTTTGCGGATGATTTCAAATTATACAGTGAGGTGAAGGATGAGTTTGATCATAGGCAGTTGCAAAGAGCCTTGAACGAAGTTCATAGATGGTCACAAGAGTGTTCCCTACCTATCTCGAAGGAAAAAACCAAAGTAATTCGTATTGGACTCACAAACTCCAATCTCAAATTTAAGTATTTGCTTGGGGAGAATATGGGAATCCCTGTTCTCATAACAAACAAACAGTAACATAGGATAATATCCCAAGCAAAGAGCGCACGATAACATTCCAGTACAAAGAGCGCTGCTCTTACACCTCCCCCATTTCCTTCAAGTCCGTCCCGGACTTAAAAGAAGAAGAGAGGGAGTAACGGAAAGTGGATTTATCTAAGACATGCATCAAATTTGTGCAGTCAATCAAGCATGATCTCCTTAGTTACTTGAAAAGCACATGTTGTAGCGAGTGGATGTGTACTAGTCGGTGATGATTATAATACATGTTGCTAGAGTGATATGCTCTGTTGAATGCTCATAAAGTGAGCCACGCCAGAGCGGCGAACGAACTGCACCTGGAAATAGTATAGGATTAGAAGTGTTCTCGATTTAGCCAAGAAACAGTGCACCGGACAGATTGTTTGAAGTATACTATGTGAGGGGGGGGGAATCGGCCGCCTCGCGGCTGAGAGTGCCTGAAAGTTGATTGGAAACATCAATGTGAACTGTGTGGGTGAAACCGGCCGCATCGCGACCAAAAGCGGTGACCAACTGACCAGAAGGAACTGGTGCGTCTTGTGGGTGAAATGGGCTGCATCGCGACCATGCATGGGCGAGGGAGCGGGTGGCGCCAAGTGGGCCTGATTGCTCCTTTTGGGCCTCCGTAACTTCCGCGTGGGAGAGATCCAGTGTGAATGGTTTCGGGAGATTCCGTGGAAAAGAAGAGCCGTTAGAGACAGTGAAGTTGCGGAATCCTGAGAGGTTGATTGTGACTGGGTGTTTGTAAATGATCTGTCCAATTGTAGTAGCCGTTCCTGAATGATCGAAGCCCAGATTTCCTGAAGATGATGGTCTTGAGTCCATTAGGACAAATTAGTCAGCACTAAATTGTGAAATATAGTGATAGCGCCAAAGCAAGGAATTGAGGTGTTCAGGCGTGCTCAAAATCCGAACACCTGGATGGATACGAAACTGGCCTGAGTGAGGATCAAATTCATGATATGACGGATTGTGCAAAAAAGAAGTGCGAAATCGCAGAACATTCGACTGTTTCAGGATTTGGAGATACTACGAATGTGAGGGGATCAACGAAAGAGCGGATAGTCGTACCACTACTCAAAGTCATTTTGATAACCGATTTGGAAAAGCAAGTACCGTTGAGTGGAAGGATAGTGTAATGACTGGTGGGATGGTAAGAAATCTATGAATCTGGACCAAATCGTTCCCAAGATAAGTAGCAGCAATATCTTGATGCTGAAGTAGATTTCTCATGGCAAAAGTGGGATTAGCAGATAGAGAAGTATGTATAGCTAGTGCGAGTAGGTTAGTGCGATCACATAGGGCAGATAAAGCGTGGTGAAACAGAGCTGTGACTGCTGATTCAACGCTACCCTTTACTGCAAGCAACTGGGCGGCTAATTGCTTAGAGGTAATGAAGCCAACGTTAGAGTCAGAGGCTCGAGGAAGTCGACGCTTGATCGTTACCGCATACCCTTGGTCAGTGATTATGAGCCCCTTACCGCAATCCGACATGTGCGTGCTATCATCGTGCCACGAAAGTGCGAACTCCTTAGGATCTCTGATCCAAATGTCACCTAGGAGGTAACCTGCCATTTTAACCGTTAGTACAAAGCCACAGGATTCCTCCTTGTTGGGCGACCAGACTAACACAGATTCATCCGCCATCATGCAGCTGCCTGATAGGTACTTGCAGTTTCGGGTGTCCCCTATAGATGAGTCGGGGAAGTCAGAGCCGTGGCGCATGTGAATCTGGTTTTAATGAGATAGCAATTGGATACGGTCTTAGTATGTGTGGAGCAGCATCCAAAAGAAGCGGAAAGCAACGTAAATTTTAGTTTGTTAGTTGTTGCCCAAGAATCGCCGTTTTGTGAGAGGGAGCCATGTTGGCATTTGTGATGAGCTACCATTCACCCGTTTCAATAGTAACTATCTGAGGGCATACTGCGTTGATTGCGGAAAAGTGGTGGAGGTGTGCCGCTACGTCGGTCCCTATTACCTGGAATAGGGCTAATAGACCTACTTTGTTCTCGGAACTGGGGGCGAGAAGGATGATTGCTTCCGTTCCAAACCATTGTTGACTTGATTTCAACTTGGGGTCGGGAGGGGAGAGGGCTAGCAACCGGCGATTCCGCAATTGCTCCACCATTTGGGCGATATCCAAGGTGCGTTGGAGGGTGGATGGATTAGCTAACTCTACCTGAAGCCTGATGTGATGGTGAACACGGGCCACGAACTCTTCTAAGGCGCGAGCCTGCTGCATTGCTGTATCTTGGCTAGGTGTGGCAGCGCGCACTAACCTGAAAATTCTATCTGCGAATGCCGAATTTGATTCCTTAAGTTCTTGGCATTTCGCTAAAGCTCGTCGTGCCATATTTCGAAGGTGTGGTCCCTCGTAACAATTCTTGAGATGGGCCACTACCGCGTCATAGTCCTCCCGTTGAGCGGGTGTCAGCTCCTCGATTTTCTCTCGAGCTGCGCCATCAAGGAGGGCTATCAGATGAGAGGCCTTGAGCTTTGGGGATAGCGGGGTGGGACGCGTGTTTTGGATATCTTCAAAATGACGCAGCCATACTGAGAAAGGGGTAAGGTCTCCGCTATTCGCCCCCGTGAAGCAGGGAATTTTCGGTGCGGGCCACTCCGGGGTACAGGATGATACGTAAGGGATACCCTCGAGTCTTTGGCCAACCGCAGTGAAAGAATCATTGAAGCCCTGGAGCAGTGAAGTATTCACATCGTTCACTTGCTTGGCTAAGGCTGTCGTTGCTAAACGGGAATCCTTCCATACATCTGATATCGCCTGTGCTGTAACATCGCGTAGTTCTTTAGCTTGCAAGCCTTTGACTACCGACTCTCCGAGAGATTAACTAAGGATTACGCAACCTTAGTTACGTACTCGCATAACTGTGTGGCTGAATTCGGGGCAGCCGCCCCAGAGTCTGAGGAGTGAGTGCGGGCTCGTGTTAACGGACCCATAAGAAAGCGAGAGGATAAGACTTTGAAACTCCGGAGATGAAATGAATGAACTGGAGGCACAGTTATCTTATATATGGCAAGAGGAAGTATAAGATGTGGAGGGTGGGAAAGGAAACAAATTGATCAAGAAATGTAAGCAAACAAACTTATCCCATAAAGTTATTCACGTATACAGAAGAGGAATTTGAAAGAAGATGTAGAGATAACAAACCGCAAACTTTCTCATGTACTAAGCTGCGCGCCTTATCTGCGAAAGGATCTACCAAAACATACGCGTTATCGCGAAAGAGACCTACCATAGCATAATTTTCTCGCGCACTTGGAACAAAACATTATAGTGCTCGGAGCAAAACATCCGCTAGCCAGGTACAGTTTTCCATGAACACGAAGTCGGAACATTTACAGATTTCCTGAAAAAGCGTTGTGAAAAAAGGTTACTGTAGCCTGCTGAAAAGCGGAAGAAAGATCAGCCAAGA